ACGACCAAACAACCTGAAAAGCCCGCAACAACCATTAGATCCCGGCCGTGAAAGCCTTCGCGAATACGTATTAGCTAGTATTGGAATGGTTGTAAAAGCAAGCATTTGTAAACTGGGGATGGGGTGGGGTGGAGAGGACCCTTGTACTGATGTTGTCATTAGCAAACAGCTCTATAGATAAGGATGGTCCTCTTCCTTCCCTTCCTTTCTTTTTAACTCTTCTTTGGAGCCTTGTGATTCAGTGGTTAAACTGCAGTAAAGGTTCCCCTTGGCATTTAGTCCAGTGTTGTCTGACTCTAGGGTGCGGTGCTCTTCCCCGTTTCCAAGCCATGGAGCCAGTGTTTGTCCAAAGACAGTTTCCGTGGTCACGTGGCCAGTGCAGCTAGACACGGAACACCCTTACCTTCCCACCGAGGTAGTACCTATTTATCTACTCACATTTTTACATGCTTTTGAACTGCTAGGTTGGCAGAAGCTGGGACAAGCGACGGGAGCTCACTCCGTCACATGGATTCCCTGATACAACTGCATGTCTTCCGACCTTGCAGCACAGAGGCTTCCATCTTACAACTGCATGTCTTCCAACCTTGCAGCACAGAGGCTTCTGCGGTTTAGCCCGCAGCGCCATCGCGTCCCTAAACTGCGTTACTGCAGCCAAAACTCTGCTCACGACCTGGGTTCAGTCCCAGGTAGCTGGCTTAAGGTTCACTCAGCTTTCCATTCTTTTGAGGTTGGTCAACTACCCAGAAAGTACTAAGGGGCAGTATATAAGCAGCACAGTTGGTCAACTACCCAGAAAGTGTTTTAAGTACTAGGGGGCAGTATATAAGCAGCACACTTTTTGTTTTGTTTTTTTCTTCCTCTGTGAGAACAGGACCAGAGCAGAAATGTGTTAATCGCCTATGAAACGGAACTAACCATTCTCATGAAGAGTTTGGCAGCAAGATCAATAACAAAGGCACTCCCCATATTTCCTTGGCACACCCCTGTTGAATTGGTCTCCTTCTTCTATGTATAAACAGTGTCAGTCCGCCTGGTGCGTGAGGGGGAAAAGCTTCATTCCCCAAACAGAGAGTGCGCATTCTGCTGGAAGGTGGGCCTGCAAGCCTGTGTGCTGGAAACAGGAAAGAAGCCGCTGATGAGGTGTTTCCTTTGTGGCTGCCACTGCATTACCATTGGGTGGGCCGTTGCCTTGTTCGGACCGTCCTGCCCCGAGTACCCTGTGCTGTGGCGCCCGGCTGACCCTCTCCCCTCTTTTCCCTCCAGGCTGAGTAAGATCACCAACCGCTTGACCATGCAGAGGAAGAGCCAGTTCATGCAGAGGCTGCACAGCTACTGGACCCTGAAGAGGCAGTCCCGCAATGGGGTGCCCTTGCTGCGCCGGCTCCAGACCCACCTGCAGTCGCATCGGAACTGCGAGCCCGGGAGGCCGGCTCCTCCTCCTCCTCCTGTCTCCAAGACGGAGCAGGTGTGGTTTCCCTTGAGCTTTGGGGGCAAGGCAAGAGGCGGGCTGGGTGGGTGGCCTGGGCAGGAAGGACAGAGAGGAGGGGCTGCTGTGTCTGTGTGTGTGTGCAGCTCGGGAGGAGAAGGCCATGGGCCCGGCCCTCCTCTGCTTATGGGTGTTGAGTGGGCTGAAGGAGCATGGGGTTGTTGTTGTTGTTTTCTGGGGAGGGGGGGAAGCTGAGCGTGAGGCTCTCCTTTGTGGCCAGCTCTGGTGAGGGATCCCCCCCCCCAGTCTGGGGTGTCTGAGGGATGAGGCGGGTTGTGGAGATGGGTGAGTTTCTTCTTGCTGAAATTCACATCCTCCTGAACTTGAATCCGCTCAAGGCCCTCTTTGGCAAGTCGAAGGTTCAGTTCTTGCTGTTTGGGTGGACAACACTGGCCCTCCGAGCGTTGCTGGACTTCCTCTCCCATTAGCACAGCTGATGGGGGGGGAGATTGGAGCAGGTTGCAATGCCTGGAGTGCCACAACTGCTCACCCAGGGCTTGGGAGGCTTGGCTTGAGTTGGGAAGCCCTTTTCTTCTTCCAAGACCCTGGAGAAATTGCTGCCAATCAGAGTAGACTGTGCTGGGCATGGAGGTGGCATTCTGTGCAAAGAAGCTTCGTGCCTCTTCCTTCCTTCGTTTCGCCTGCTTGGAAGGAAGGAGAGACCCATTCTTGTGAGACCTCCAAAGTGGCCCTCACTCTGCTATTCGCACCCCCTCCAAAAAAGCCTCGGCTCCCAGCAGCAAAGTCTGGCAGAATTTCACTGCAGGTCTCCTTAAACCAGTGGCAGCAAGGCAGGGGGAAGGCTTGCCATTTCCTCTCATAGACTCTGATGTTCCTGCAGCGGGATAACACAGAGGATAAGAACTGGGCCCTGAAAGAACAGCTGAAATCCTGGCAGCGCCTCCGCCACGACCTGGAACGAGCACGCTTGCTGGTGGAGTTAATTCGCAAGCGGGAGAAGCTCAAGAGAGAGACGGTAACCACCCTGGGAAAGGGAGATGCCGGGGGGAGGCCGAGGCTTCCTCCCCTGGGAAAGGTTAGGGAAGGACACTCCCCCACCCCCCACCCCCACAGTATCGAGGAGGGGAACATGGGACTCTTTAGAAAGGGGGAGCAGGGGAACAATTGAACTTTGCAGGGTGGTCTAGTGACCAAAATATTGGGGGGAAATGTTTTTTGTTTTTTTCTCTTCTTCTACTGTTCCCAGACCCCCCTTCTCTTCTCTGACAGCGCTGGCTGGAGGATTCTGGGAGTTGTTCTCCAAAAAAAAGAGCAACATTTCCAAGACAAAAAAATAAATCAGGAGTGCCAGGCTTCCCTGTGGAATGTGGAGAGAGAGGATAGAAGCCTTGCTGGGGAAGTTGTCAAGGGAAAAAAAAGAGAAGCCAAAGAAATTGGTGGGGGTGGGTGGTTTAGGCAATGATTACTGCTTGCCAGATGGTAGCCATCGGTTCCTGGGCACAGCCCCTTGTGTCCGGAGAGTGAAGAGCCTCTTCCCAGGCTGAGTTCCAACCCTACTGGAGCAAAGCAGGAGCTAGAGGTGTGCCTGATTGGGGCCTTGTCTTATTGGGGATATCACAGGCGAGGCATCCAGAGTAACAGCTAACTTACCATACCAAATGTCTCTTATGGTGCACAATTCCTAGGGAAAACTGGCCCGTTCAAGAAAGTGCACTCCATTCTTTCGGAGTGACCTTTAGGCCAGTGGATACGCTGGCGTCCTGTGCGAGCCAAGAGCATGCACACTCTTAAGACTAGAATTTGCTGATGCCTCCAGGAGTTTCACGTCAGACGGAAGAATGTGGGAAATGGTCCCTAAGGATGGAAAGCCCACTGGGGGTGTGTGGGTGATTGGCGGCTACGGGGACGTGAATCCACCCTTCAGGAGTCTCGAGGGGAGGGAGTTTTCCTGTCAAACAGTGCAGAGGGATGGGAGTGAAATGCCTGAGGAACTCATAAAACCAGGTGCTTGCTGTTTGTCCCCTTTTATCCCCAACTCTCCTCAGAGCAGTGGGGGGGGGCCCTCTGATCTCTGCCCCTCTTCCTAGTTGCTTGTGCTGCCTAACCCCATGCTACTTCAGGGGTCCCCCCACTCAGGGATGGCAGAGTCCTCCTGCTAGCCAAACCTTCAGTGACACTTCTCTCCCCCCTCCTCCTCTCTTCTGTGCTCCAGATTAAAATTCAGCAAGTGGCGCTAGAGATGCAGTTGACCCCCTTCCTCATTCTCCTGCGCCGGACGCTCGAGCAGCTCCAGGAGAAGGACACGGGCAATATCTTCAGCCAGCCGGTCCCGCTGTCTGAGGTAACAGAACTCTACGAAGTAAGAACCCCTCCACCCCCAATTTATACTTTGCTCTGTTCCCATCCAGCCCTGAGGCTGGCCTTGCAACTTTGCTGGTCCTGCACATTTGTACGGAGAAATCTTCTTGTCCAGGATTAGAGAATATTTCTGCCCACAGAGCTGTAGGGAAGGAGGAAGTGTGGAAAGCCAGTGTTAGCTTAAAACAGGGGCAAAGAAGCCTCTCTCCTCAAATGTTTTGGACTCACAATTCCTAGAAGGTCCGTCAAACAAGGCCAGTGGTGGGGGATTATAGGGATTGTAGTCCAAACCACCTGGCGGTTCATGCCTGAATGAAAAGAATTCAGCAACACATCTCCTCTCTCTCTCTCTCTCTCTCTCTCTCTCTCTCTCTCTCTCTATCTATCTATCTATCTATCTATCTATCTATCTATCTATCTATCTATCTATCTCTCCCTTCATGAAAAGAAAATGTTTGAAACAGGCCATGTTTCCTAAGGAAATCAATGCTGAGATAACAGGAACAGCCTAGAAAAGTGACTTTTTCAGGGTGACAGCTTCAGAATCTATCCAGAATCCTGCTGCCTGGGGGATTCTGGGTGGTGTAAAGTACATAATTAAATGAAAAGAGTAACTTGTCCAGTCTCTGATAATGCATGGGTATCCACACAGGGCGAAGGCACGGGGCAGCCGTCCACCATATCATGCCCTCTGAATGAAATGACAGGAGTTCCAGTGCCAGCACATCCAGAAAGCACCAAGTATACCTGAGCTAGAAAGACTGAGAACACTGGATGGCTGGTGAACAGAGGAGGGGCGGGGCGCCTGTGTTGCTGATCAGGGCTCAAGGGGTTTTGGCTTGTCCATTAGGAGGTGGATTGGACCAGGCTGTCTCTGCCAGAGTCTCTCTCAAAATGGGCCGTCCTCTATTTTTGAAGGTGAATTCATTTTTTTAACAATGTTCCCATTGCGGAGGGTTGTGGATGATGCTTTGAAGTGTGCAGGGGTGTGTGTGTGCCCACACTGAATGGCAGTACCCCTCTTAAGTGGGGAGATTGCCCCAGGCTGGGCAAGAGCTTTAAGGGGCCTCTGTATTCAGGACTGCATTAACTTTTTCTCTCCTTGGAGCAGGGATTCCTCCGGGTCGATGGGCCCCCAGTCTCTTAGCTGCCCCGCTCTCTGTCCACTGCAGGTCCCGGACTACCTGGACCACATCAAGAAGCCTATGGACTTTTACACCATGAAGCAGAAGCTAGAGAGCTATCGCTACTTGAACCTGGACGAGTTTGAGGAGGACTTCAATCTGATTGTCAGCAACTGCCTGAAGTACAATGCCAAAGACACCATCTTCTACCGGGCAGCGGTCCGGTTGCGGGAACAAGGAGGCGCCGTGCTCCGGCAGGCCCGCCGGCAAGCCGAAAAGATGGGCATTGACTTTGAGACAGGCATGCACTTCCCCATGGCTGGGGATGAGGCCCCTCTGCGGAGCACCGAGAACGGTTAGTCACTTGTACAGAACATGTAAGAGACCAGGTTAGGGGTCCATCCAGTGGCCAAAACCCTGTTGCTTAGCACAGCAAATCATTCTAGAGTAAGTCCATTGAATGTTCCATAGGTTCTGTGGATGGAGTCAAATCCTCCAAGATTCCATTGATTCAGACAGGCTTCTGCTAACTGTGACTTAGGTAAAGTAAGTCACAATTAGATTCAGGCCATTTGAATCAATGGAATAAAAGGAGAAATTGACTCACCAAATCCCCATTGATGCAGTGGGCCTACTCCAGTGTTATGGACTGTACTAAATAACAAGATTTTGGCCAGTGTCGAATCTTGTTTCCAGTAAGCTAGATGTATGCCTCTGAGAAGCTCATATGCTGCGTTATGTAGAAAATATGTGCATTCATTTGTTGGAATTTGAAGACATTGTCCTGCACCTGAAAAGGAAGGTGTTTCTTCCCTTTGAGGAAAGGATGAAGACAAAAACAGAGATTTTTAAAGTATTGGCAGTCAAGAGAGCACCTCTAGTTGGTTACTTAATAGAAGAACCCCTCCCCACCCCAGTCCTGGCACGAGGAAAAATGGAATAGATTTTTAATTTCATTTTATTACCACAAATCAGGATGCGGGAATCTGTTTCGTGAAAGGTGACAATGATTTTAAAAAGTTTACAGAAATTACTGGGATTTAATTCAAATTTCCCAGCGTATGGAAACCTCCTTTGCTGGTTCACTTCTATCCAGCTGCATTTCCTCCTTTCTTTGGGGGACGGAGAGAAGGCCTGCGACTAAGCCCACGGCCACTTCATTTGCAGGACACTTCTCACGGCCTGGCCTGGCTTCTTGGGCCTCGTTGCTCAGTAGCAACATGACCTACTCATGAAGGACCCTGAACAGTCTCCTCCTTCTTTCCTGACCTAGATGAGGAACGGCTCCTGCTCTCTGAGAACCAGAAGCATCTGCCCCTGGAAGATCAGCTGAACCTCCTGCTGGAGCGCCTGGCCGAGGTGAGCGCCGGGAAGCAGAGCGTAGGCCGCTGTCGGCGGGCCAAGATGATCAAGAAGGAGATCACGGCCTTGCGGCGCAAACTGGCCCACCAGCGGGAGACGGGGAGGGATGGGCACGGCCCCTTGGCCCGCATCATTCTGCCCACCCATAACCCTTGTGAGAAGGACACTCAAACCGACAGTGCCGCTGAAGAGAGCAGCAGCCAGGAAACCGGCAAAGGTTGGTTGCGGGTGGGGTTCGGCTGCATGGAGTTGTCTTGCCCCCTCTCCTTCCTCCCCCCCCTGCCCCCGGCCAGAGGCTCCTCTTGTTATACGCAGAGTCTTCTAAGAGTGGGGTGAGCTGTTCTGGGGAACGCCTGCATTTTTAGAGGATTTGCACAGGCACACAAACAAACACACACCAGGATATGTCGACGGTCAGGTCTTTGCCATGTTGGACCAGCCCAAGGTTGAAGAGACAGCTGTCGGCACGAAGGCCGCATGCAGCTGCGCGTATGTTCTCGATGGGGGTGACGGTGGCGGCAGTCCCATAAACAGGCAGGGCCAAAGGCAGAAGGGTAGAATCGGAAACAACAGTGTATTTTTTTAGTGTAATGCTCTTCCTGCCAGTAATGGTTGGGAGAGGATTGGGATTGGAGAGGAACACCACACAGAAGCAGAGGGACCCCCCAAATAGTGGGGTTTCAGAGAAAAGGGCATAGCCATCTGTGAGACCCCAGGAGATTTCGTTGGGACCTCCAGAGGGGCCGGATTTGGCCTTGGCCTCCCCCACCTCTGAACCGTCTTCTGATCCTGCAGATTCTTACGTGATTCTGTAGGAAAAGAAGGAGAGCTGAGATATAATATACCACTTCCTTGACTCTACTCCTATTCAGTGCCCAATATTCACCCAGTATGTGACCTGAGTGGACACTGGGTCGCTTTCGTCCAAATCCATCTTTTGCTTCCCAGCGTGTTGAAGAGCACAATTAAGTGTTAAACAGCAATGTGATGGGGAAATTCTTCAAAAGCCATGTGGGGTCCAGATCCTGGAAGTGCGTTTGGGAGGCTGTGCAAAGCAGGGCTGAGATTGGGTTTCCACATTGCATGGGGTTTAAGGGTCAGGCCCCCCCCCCACTTTTTTTGGTATTGATGGGACTCTTGTGTCAAAATGGGACGCACATTGCAATGCCACTTTTTTTTGGCATTGATGGGACTCTTGTGTCAAAATGGGACACACAAGTGTGTACTGAAAGGAAATCGCCGAGTTTCCTTTGTTTGTAGCTTGTCCGTCTGTCATTATGGGTAGCTCCCACAGGTGGGAGGAGTGACAGAAGAGTGACCAATTCAAAGTGTGGACAATTCCTTAAAACTTGTCTCTTTAGCTTCCCCGCCTGGGAATCCAGCACATTGAAAAAAGGCCTTTTTTGGATGATAGCTTCCAGCAGGGTGGATAAAAAGCAATGATTTTTAAAAATCAATTTGATTAATATCACAATTTAAATCATGATGTAAATTTTAAAAAATGATTTTTAAATTTCAGTCTTTTTAAAAATCCATTTTAAAGACATAATTATTTAAACTGTGATTTAAATTGTGATGTAAATCAATTTGATTTAAATCAATTCGATTTAAATCAGATTTACCCTGTTTCCCAGACTCTGGTAGTCAGCTTAGCCGCTGTGAGATTTTGGGAGCTGTGATTAACAAAACAACTACTACTTTTTCCAGGCTGTGCCTGGGAAAGATACTGCATGAAGATGCTGAACTTCCTTTCCTGAGCAAATGCTGCCCCTTTTAATCCTAGGCCTTGGCCCCAACTCTTCCTCCACCCAAGCCCAAGAAGTGGGCAGAAGGACTTCCGTGCTTTTCTCCAAGAAGAATCCTAAGACGGCCGGGCCCCCCAAGCGTCCTGGGCGTCCACCCAAGAACCGTGACAGCCAGCTTGCACCAGGCCACGGGAACAGCCCAGTGGGGCCCCCACAGCTGCCAATCATGGGCTCCCAGCGGCAGCGCAAAAGGGGGAGGAGCCCACGCCCCAGCTCCAGCTCGGACAGCGATAGCGACAAATCTGCTGACGATGGACCTCTTGGTGAGTGATGCCTGGAGCCTGGCTGAGAAGGGGGCTTTGGCCAGGGGCGTGTGAGCCGTCATCCTTTCCCTTGTGTGTGTGTGTGTTGGGGGGAGGGATCCCTCTTGGAGGAATATGTTATTGCGCATGTGCAATAGGAAGACCTAGAGTGGTCTTTTTGGCCAGATGGGAGGTGTATAAATCAAACAAACAAACAAATGAACTCTGCAGACCCTATTCATTTTTAGTCTGCCTCCCTTCTAGTGTGAGTTAGCAAGCAAGATTTGAAAGGGTTTTTCTCCCCCCCCTCCCGGTAATAGTTCAGACTAGAAAGCTGGAAATACCTTCTTTACAAATCAGAGGCCATGTATCAAAGTCAAAGGCCAAAGACATGGCACTTGAACAATGAGTGACCTCAGAGCACTGTATAACTATGCAACACTCCTTGGTAGTGTGAATCTGTGGTGGTCTGTCACAGCTGACATGGATCGCCAAATGGGTTAATGTCAGTGTGATCCTATCCATGTGGGTTCATCTGGGTATCAAGGTACCAATGGAACCAATTCCATTGCTGGAATGATTCCAGGCAACATCCGCTTGTCTCTTCCTGTGAAGATGGCAGGACTGAGGGGAAGGCCTCCCCTGATGACCTTAACATGTGAGCAAGCTCATAAAGAGAGAGGGGTCCTTGAGGTAGCTTGGGCTCAAGCCGTTTAATGCTTTATAGGTTAGAACCATCACTTTGAATTCTGCCCGGAAACGGATTGGCAGCCGGTGGAGCTGCTGTAACAGGGGGGTTATTATGTGATTCCTGTAACCAGTTGCAGTTAGCAATCTGGCTGCGGTTTTAGACCTGCTGAAGTTTCCTGATGCATTCTATAGGCAGTGGTTTCATGTAGATGTTAAATGACATAGGAGGCAAAACAGTTGTTATGTGATTCCTGTAACCAGCTGCAGTTAGCAATCTGGCTGTGGTTTTAGACCTGCTGAAGTTACCTGATGCTTTCCATAGGCAGTGGTTTCATGTAGATGTTAAATGACATAGGAGGCAAAACAGAACCTGAGGGACCCCACACACACAAACACACACACAGGCCAGCAGCCAGTGTGCCAAACTGGAATCCCCCAGCACCACCTTCTGCGTTCTCTCCTCCAGAAAGGGCCCAAGCCACTGCAAAATATCTAGATAATCCGCCTCCTCCAGGAACCTCTGGAGCTGAGAAGCCATGACCTGCTCCAGAACTTTGCCCAAGAATGGGATATTAGGTCTATAGTTATTCAGTATTGCGGGATCTAAGGAGAGCTTTTTCAGCAACAGCCTTGCTATTGCCTCCTTTAAGCATGCTAGGATCCTTGTCGTCGTTTAGTCATTTAGTCGTTTCGGACTCTTCGTGACCATGGGATATTAGGTCCATAGTTATTCAGTATTGTGGGATCTAAGGAGAGCTTTTTCAGCAACAGCCTTACTATTGCCTCCTTTAAGCATGCTAAGATCCTCGTCATCGTTTAGTCATTTAGTCGTTTCCGACTCTTTGTGACCCCATGGTCCAGAGCATGCCAGGCCCTCCTATCTTCCACTGCCTCCCGGAGCTTGGTCAAATTCATCCTGGTAGCTTTGATGACACTGTCCAACCATCTCGCCCTCTGTCGTCCCCTTCTCCTCTTGCCCTCACACTTCACACACTAGGATCCTACCCTGTTGCAATAAGGCATCCACTACTTCTCCTATGTTGCATTTTGTATACACTTATTTTACTTCTGTGAAGATTCTCAGTCATCCAGGTGAGGAGTCATGGCAACTGGACTTCTTTCTTATTAGGCTGAAATGTTTCACTGTTCATCCAAGTAGCTTCTTCAGTCTGAGGGGTCTCCTACCAGCTCTCCTCAGACTTAAGAAGCTACTTGAACGAGTAGCGAAACATTTCAGCCTAATAAGAAAGAAAGTCCACTTGCCATGACTCAACTTCCAGACTTCTCTTGTTTTAGCACTCTGTAATACAAAATGTCAAACCTTGGCACAGACACTGAATGCAACCAATGCATCTGTGTTGAGATCTAGCCTTTGAGGACCTGTTTTTTTCCTCAGTGGCCAGCAAAAAACAAAAAACCCAAAACATCCTTGCCTACCTGGTGAGTTCAAATGGGAGAACCTTGGCTGGTGCCTGTTCTGATTTAGCCAATGGCCTCTCTGTTCCTCTCTCTCTCCCACTTTCTTTTTCTCCAGACCTGCCAGCCAATGGCTTCAGCAGTGGCAATCAGCCGGTCAAGAAGAGTTTCCTGGTGTATCGCAGTGACTATAACCTTCCTCGCAGCAGCTCTGACTCTGAGTCAAGCAGCACCAGCAGCAGCAGCGCCGCCTCTGACCGCACCAGGTACCAGCCCTTCGCAGACAACCATTGAGGCAGCAGTGACCTTGCGGGCTTTCGATCAGAGAGTACAGAGCAGGTTGGGGCGGCTGAAAAGCCTCAAAAAAAGAGGGGATTTTCTGGTGGCAAACTTGAAGTCTGTCCTGTGCAACACCAGGGATCATTGTGTTTGATGTGTACAAGCACACAGAGAGAGGCATACACTAGCAGTCTTTTTTCTCTGACACACACATACACACAAATGTGTATGTTCCAGATAGCCTACTGAACAGGGAACAATTTACGTAAATCAGTGGCTTGGGCAAGGGCACCTGTCCTTGTCAAGACGGAAGGTGATCCTCTCTCATAGAGACCCAGGCGCTTGCCACAAAATCTTCACACACCTACAGGCATGCTTGTATCTTTTAGATGTGCCTCGTGAAGAATTGGACACTTGTTTAGGCACACCACATTCCCTTGCCAGCTAGGAGCAAATTAGTAGATGTCATTTTAGTTTGTTTGTTTTTCTTAAGTGGTCCAAGGAAAGGCCAGAAATCAAAGTAATTTAGTTCCAGATACCCTTCCAAATGCAGGTGTGTGTGTGGGGGGGGTGTTAGGTAAGGGGACCTCAGAGATTCTTGTATGCTCAGACTATCAGTGGCTACAAGTTATGATGGCTTTTTATGCTACCTCCAGATGGAGCTGAGTGGCACCCGCAATGGGCAGGACTTCCCATAGGAATGTGTTTGGCTACCGTAGGAAGCAGGATGCTGAATTAGACAGCCATTGTTTTGATGACACATAGGTTTTTGTCTTTGTGTCATTTCCCTAAATGCCCCCATGAGAAACTCCGTTCAGCCCTCTTTTTGTTAGCCATGCTCGCTCCTAGCTCTCATGGCAAGATTTCTTGACACTTAATGTGGGAAGATTTTGGAGCACTTTGTTCTCACCATCACTTCCTCCTAGGCTTCTCAGGGTGGAGGCATCATTCTTTTTTACTTCACCTCTCAGTTAAGAATGCTTTTTAGGGGAGTTTCCGGTTCAGGCTTCTGGAGAAGATAATGTCTAGGCACTCAAGGTTAATTCCATTTCTCTCCCTAGCACTACCCCCTCCAAACAAGGCAGAGGGAAGCCCTCGTTTTCCCGCGTGAATTTCCCAGAGGACAGCAGTGAAGACTCGTCAGGAACAGAGAATGAGTCTTACTCAGTGGGTGCTGGCCGAGGGGTGGGCCATGGCAGTAAGTATCTGGGAATCGTTTCCTCTGGGTTTCTTGTCCAGAGACCGGGGGGAAGGGGGAGAGAGAGAAGAATGTCAATTACTCCCTTCTGCTCTCTTGTTGTGTCTTTGCACAGTGGTGCGCAAGAGCATTGGCCGATCAGCTGGGTGGCTGTCTGAGGATGAAGACTCTCCTCTGGATGCCTTGGACCTGGTGTGGGCCAAATGCCGAGGTTATCCATCTTATCCAGCCCTGGTGAGTTTACAGCAATATACACGATATATACACACACAACACCTGCGTAAGTCGAAAGAGCTGAGGATACTGCAGACTGGGTACTTGGGAACCTTTCAAAATCACAGACAGCAGACAGTGAGGCTATGACTCTGCCGAGTGCAGTGGGAGTGTAAGAGTAAGACTCGAAGTTATCAAGGGCAGATCACTAGGAGAACTTCAGCAGGCCACGGTCACCCTGGAGCATAGAAAATGCTACCGAATGTAAACCCAGCAGTTTCAGCAGAAATTTATTCCTTAGTTTTTTTAAACTAAGGGTTTCTAAGAGAAGGGGAATATTTTTTAAAGCTGAGGAGTGGGTGGATGAAGGCATGAAAAATCCTCACTTTCACATGGCTGTGCCTCTCTTTCCTGAGTTTGTCGCCTAAACCCTATACAGTCAACCCTCAACTTACGAATGGCCCTACATATGGACTTTTCGATTTACGAACAGCTCCATTGGCAAAAATTGGCATCAACTTGCGAACCTAGCTCGACGTACAAACGAGGACGAGGCTCCGTTCGCACGTCAGTGCCATTTTTTGCCAACGGAGCCGTTCGGAAATGGCTCCCTGCAAAAAGGCAGGGAGAAAGGGCGGGAAGTTAGAATTTCCAGCCCTTTCTCCGTGTCTTTGGAGCTTTCAAAGGGCTTCCTCCGACGTCGAGGGAAAGCTCTTTGAGAGCTCTGAAGCCGCCGCGATCAGCACCTTCGGAGGTCTCAAAGGGCTTTCCCTCCGACATCGGAGGAAGCCGTTTTGAGACCTCCAAAGCCAAAAAGGCAGGGGGAAAGGGCGGGAAATTGGAATTTCCAGCCCTTTCCCCCTGCTTTTTTGCCTTGTGAAATGCTGGAATGGATTAATTCCGTTCTCATGCATTTCAATGGGAAATGGTACTTCAACTTACGAACTTTTTGACGTACGAACGTCGTTCCAATACGGATTAAGTTCATAAGTCGAGGTACCACTGTATAGCGTTCTCCCATCAGCACCTTTTGCTGGTTCCCCCACTTGTCCGCCAGCAGACACTGGATAGCATTCAGCTTCGCCCTTTTCTAAACCCACATTGTGCAGTTATAAAGACAAGAGTGCTGTAGCTATGTATGCAGAGCACAGAATCTGGCATTTTTGTAAACTGTTATGTTCTATTACACCATATACAGGAAATGTGTTTCAAGTAAGCTGGAGGAAAAAAATGGAATCCCTAGTTGGGGAGGAGTTATCTCTAGATTCACTCTATTATCCATGTGCAGGCAGTGTGAGTGAGCAACTGGTGGTCCGTACATTAAGCACATGACCCTTAAAACTCCAGTGCAGGATTACCCTGGCTGTTTGCAACTAAAGCCAGGGTCTATTTGCCCATCCCTGAGAAGGTCAAGGCATGGTATGCAGGCTGGGCTGAGACAAACCAACTGGCAAACGACCACTTGGTGAGCTTCATAGTGAAACTGGGACAAGTTGCCTAATTCCAGTGTTCTGTCTTAGCTTGCCATAATTCTCAGCCCCTTCTCTGCTCGTAGACCACAAACCTGCTTGCGTGTCCTGCCTCTGTGTGGGCATGTCTGAAATACTTTTCCATATGGGTGGTTACTCTTCCAGAATGAAATAATAATCTTAGAACTGCAGAGCTGGCAGAGACCCTATGGGTCATCATGTCCACCCCTTGCCAGGGAGGTACAGTGGGGAATTGAATTCTCTGCCTCTAGCGCCGCAGCCAGAGACCTAAACTACTGAGCTATCCAGCCGTTCCCTAGTGCCCAATTTTTTCCCCTTCTCCTCTTGGCAGATCATTGATCCTAAGATGCCACGGGAAGGGATGTTCCACCACGGTGTCCCCATTCCTGTGCCTCCCTTGGAGGTGCTGAAGCTGGGAGAACAGATGACTCAGGAAGCACAGGAGCATCTCTACCTGGTCCTTTTCTTTGACAACAAACGTACCTGGTAAGGACTTTGCCTGTCTCTGGAAGCTACAGAAATGGGGCTGCCCTGTTGGGTCACAGCTGAGTCAAGACCAGATGGGAGAAACTTAGGCTAGAGTTGCCATGCTGAAGGTGGGGAGTGGAGCTTGGGACAGGAGTGGTCCTGTCCTTTCAGGAGACCTCTTGTTACGAGTTTTGCTTATTTCTTTTTTTTTCTTTTTTGCAGGCAGTGGTTGCCCCGCACCAAACTCGTGCCCCTGGGTGTAAACCAGGACCTGGACAAGGAGAAGATGCTGGAAGGACGCAAATCAAACATCCGCAAATCTGTCCAGATCGCCTACCATCGTGCCATGCAGCACCGCAACAAGGTGCAAGGAGAGCAGAGCAGCGACTCCAGTGAGAGCGACTGACCCTCCGAGGGGCTCCCGCCCTGGGTGCTCGCTTTGTGCAGCTGGACTGTACGGGGGAGAGGGCGGTGGGGAGCTCCAGCCTTGAGACGCCTGGGCCTTTGGCCAGGCCGCAGGAGCACGTGCAGAGCACCCGACGGCCCCTGTAGTGTGCTGGGCACACCCACAGAGCACTGCGCCCTCCACGTGGGCAAGCCTACCTCTTGTGCCAGCCTGCCCTTCCTTGTTCCATATCTGGCATCGCCCTGACCAGCTGCGTGAGCAAGACCCAGCTGCCTGTATATCTCTCTCCCGAGGACAAGCCCCCTCCCCCCTCCGCCCTGGGTCCTGAGGCTCTAGGCCGTTGTAAAATACTGTACTATAGTGGGAGAATGTAAATTATTTGGGCTGCTCTATACCCACACATACAGAACCTGGTTCCCGTTCTCCCCGCCCCCAGTCCCTGGCATCATTGCACCTCTCAAAGATACATCAGCCTTTCCTTGGCCCAGCCCGACCGACATTCTGCAGAGCAGGGCCGCTGTCTTTTCACTCGCACATTTTGATACTATAGCTTTTTGGAACTTGGCTCTGCCTGACCCCCCAACCCTTTAGGAATCCGGCTCTTCTTTCTGCTGCAGCCGGGTGGGCATTTGTACTTGTATTTATTTTGAAGGAAGAAGATCTCTATTGATTCTTAGAAAATAAAATGGCTCTTTTGGAACCAACTTGTCCATTCCTCTTTATGTTACTATAAAAGGGTGAGGGGATTCCCCCCCCCCAGTGTGACAGTCTTGTAAGCGTTGCACACCACTCTTCATTCCTGATCAGAAAGCAGCCGGAAACTGCCAAGTGAACTATAATACCTCTGTTGTTCTGATTAGCACTATTGCAACCATTAGACTGTACTGTTTAAGTGTGTTACTGCTTATATAACCCCCCATAGTGCTTAAGAGCAAAGTGTGCTGCTTATACACTGCCCCATAGCACTTAAAGCACTCTCTAGGCGGTTTTTAATTTAATTATGCAGGCTACGCATTGCCCTCCTCTCCTAGTGAGCTGGGTACTCAGTGTACCGACCTCAGAAGGATAGAAGGCTGAGTGAACCTTGAGCAAGCTGAGCCCATTGGAATCGAATTCAGGTCATGAGCAGAGCTTTTTACTTAAAAGTGAATCAGAGTATAAACTATTTGAAATATGAAATACTGTATTATAAAAGCTAATTTAATGCCACACAGCATTAATAGAAGTACAATGTTCAGATCAAGAAAAGTGCCACTCAACGTTGTTCAGACCTCTGCTGGAGTACTGTGTGCCCAGTTCTAGGCACTGCAGTTTAAAACGGCTATCAAGGATCTGGAAACCAAGCCCTATTGAGGAACATTTGAGGGAGCTGTGTATCTTTAGCCTGAAGAAGATAATACTGAGGTGATATGAGAGCCATTTCCCAATATTCCAGCAGCTGTCAAGCAAAAAAAAAAAAAAAAAAAAAACACTGTCTTCTGTGGCCTCAGAGAGTAGGACTGAAACTTTGAGTAGGATCCAAATTACAAGCAAGACCCAAATTACAAGAAAGATAATTTCAATAAGCCATCCAGAAGTACTTCCCGGCACTAAAAACTATGTGACACTGGAACAGCCTACTTTTATATGTGGTGGGCCCTCCTGGAAGGTATTTTAAATGAAACCAAGTTGGCCATATGTCAGGGATGTAGATTTCCTGTTTCTCCAGGGGGCTCAACTTAATGACGCTTGGGATCTCTACTAGCTATATGATTCCATATACTGTATAGGCAAGTTGCCTAGATTGCTAGATCTTTTTATTTTATAACATATACATACCACTCTTCCATATAACCTATGTATGATTCACAAAGCCAGGTCTCATTGCAGCAACTGACAGAAAGCAACAAGGTTAGCCTTCAGGAGCAGGCTAAACAGAGCATCCTATGGGCCATATTTGGTAACAGTGATGAAGAAGGTGTGTATGACATTTAATATTACTACTATAAAATACACCAGCCTCTGCTTTATTTTACGGGGGGTGGAGGTGGGGGAGAATGGCAGGCCATTCAATTGATTTTTTTAAAAAAAAAAAGACTAGCAGAATTATTGTGCTATTTTCCAGGAGGGAAACCTGAATTAAGTCTTCACAAAGGGATGATACCTTTTATCAGAGCACTAAAAAAATTAAATAGCTTTCGTAGATGAAATCCACTTCCTCCGGCTCTAAGGGCACCCCTTTGAGGAATGGTGCACAAACACTGTAGACAAGAGTCCAAAGCTTGATGTTAACATATCTGTGAGAGATGATCCAGATCTTCTTGCAGCCAAAAGAGCATCGTGAGCACAGTAAAAGGCTAAATAAATTTATTTTGGCAAAAGAAAAGTGAGTCAATTTTTCGGCTACCTCAAGAACCTTTCTTCCTGTTGTGATGATGGTATTAACTTCCATGGGGACCACAGTCCAGGCAGGCAAGAGGAAAGGGTGTGTGTGTGTTGGGGGGAACCCACTTCTCCACCTAATCATTTAGGAAACTACAGTATTTCACAAGAGCAGGGCAACCCCCCCGCACCTCCTCCCCCAATCTCTCTCTCTCCCGCCTGACACTTAAGACGGGAAAGACTTGCTTCGACACCCTTTCAGGAGACTACATCCGCCCCACTGGGCCACAAAGGCAGGGTCTCGCAGCCTAGAGCGACAAGCGCTGGACTCCGTCTACCCCTGCGCGACCCCTCCCTCCAACTCTATGGTGATTCTCGCAGCCTAGAGCGACCAGGGCCGGACTCCGTCTACCCCTGCGCGACCCCTCCCTCCAACTCTATGGTGGTTCTCACCGCCTAGAGAGACCAGAGCTGGACTCCGTCTATCCCTGCGCGACCCCTCCCTCCAACTCTATGGTGATTTCTCTTTTTTTGCGAGCTCGAAGCTGCTGCGGGTCTCGCGCCCAAGCCGCTGGCTGTTGCGGCCTCAGCAGCTGCGGCCGGAGCCGCCTCGGCATCGCCGCTCCCAACCTCGGGAAGCAGCGGCAGAAAGGAAGGGACGACATGAACTCCCGCC